GGGAATTGTGAAAACTAACACATCGTATATGAGAATCTCACATAATTGTACTAGATCTACACGAATTCTATTTCAAATGAAAGTCTTCAAATCTTTCGAATTCTACTAAGGTCTATAAAAATTTTAAAATGAAAGTTCATAGAAGCCTACGAAAGACTTTCACTAATTTTATACAAATCTACGAAAGATCTACGAAATCCATAAAAGTCATCACTTATCATCACTTAAAAAAAGTCCATCAAAGTTTTTAAAAGTCTCAATTGAATATACCCTCGATTCTTAATTTTTGTTCAATGTAATATTTTGTCAACACATTTTTTTCATTAATATTCCATTAATTAGTACATTTCATAATTTACACAAAAAAAATCCTTTCGAAATGTGTAAAATGACTTATTTGTTAATCATAATTCTAAAAAATAATAAATGAAAAAAGTGCGACAAAGTATTTTATTTCCTTATCTCAAAGCACAAAAACATAATATTTTGACAAAAACTATGATCGAGGATGACATGTGTTAATTGATAAAAAGGTTAAAGCTAAGAAACTTAGGAATATGAATCTGATGCAATAAATAAATTCAATTATTTTTGTATTGTTTCCAGGTCGAATAACGTAAAGACCTGTTTGGCTTCTCAGCATTTCCAGAAGAGGAAATTTTCAGATGGCAGCTTCGATTCTGAAAGCCGGCGGAGATAAGATCGGCACCACCATGAGAAAGCAAGTGCTATCCTTAACGGATGCCGCAGCTGCTAGAATACGCCACCTCCTAGAACAGCGCCAGCGTCCTTTCCTCAAACTCGGCGTCAAGGCCCGCGGTTGCAACGGCTTATCCTACACCCTCAATTACGCCAGTAATTTCCGTGTTTATTCCTTTTGGATGAGTGTTTTGGTGTGATATGTCTATGAATGTTTTTGAATCCGAACTGTGAAAGTTAGACTGCGTTTGGCTTCTTGGAATTGTACATTTAGATATTTCAATTTGTGAGGAAAGAGAAATTCTTTCATACTTGTAGCCATTGATTCAAGAAATATACCAAGGTTCTCAATATGCCTATTGTTGGCTTAATTAGCATAGAGATGGAGTTCAAGATAAGTTTATGGTTGTAATTTTAGGAAATTTTCTATGAAATATAATGGGGTACATCATCTGAATTTCTAGTCACCAATCACATATTCGTGAATTACTTAAGTTTTCAATCATTGATGGCTTCAATTTGTTATTCAAATAGTAAATTAACTATGGGATGATAAAGAAGAAATATGTTGGTCAGTTAGTATTATTATGTATAAGTAATATTTTAGTTTGTAGGACATATTCACGACAGAGTTTTGGTTGATAATTGAACATAATCGAACATGAAGCTGTATATTGTACGCAATTTTTCCATTCATCTGTGTGATCAATGAAATCTTCATTTCATCACGTGTCAGAATAGGTATAGTTATGAATAATGATTCCTTTTATTTTTCTAATGTCTATCTCAAAGTAAAGCTGTGTTTTTTCTGTTTGAATGATATTTTAGTTTCTATTACTTTCATAACCTTTGTGATCTCACTTGTACTGGGTTATCTGGTAAATATGATGTTTATTGTTATTTTGAGACATTTTACTCTTTCAATTTTTATGAATTAGACTATCCGAGCAGGAGATTGTTGGTTGTGACTCGTGAGCTTGCTTAGATCAGAGCTCTAGAGATTGGAAAATATTACTTATTCTCCCACTCTCCCCCAAAATTTAAAGTGGAAACCATATAGCCCCTAAGTAGCACATGGTTAATTATTACTATACTGGCACAATGACAAATGTGTTTGCCATAATCTCTGCTGAAGTTTCGACCTGGATCTCCAGCACTCTCACTGATGCCTAGACATTGTTCTCACATTGTTGCCATTGTTATTTCTATATCGTCTATTTTAGTCATTACTTCTAGGAGACGATAGTTCTTTATTTAATACTATTAAAAAAGAATGTTTCTCTATTTCTAATTTTCACTGGTCCGGACACTTCACGTTACCCTTTTATCTGGCTTCTGCATTGTTAATTTAGTTAAATTTCTGAGCAGTGAGCACTTAAGTAATTTCTACATTTTGTAGATGAGAAAGGGAAGTTTGATGAGTTGGTTGAGGAGAAAGGTGTGAAGATATTGATTGATCCGAAGGCACTCATGCATGTAATAGGAACCAAGATGGGTTTTGTTGATGACAAACTCAGGTATGAGATATTTCTCCACTTCTAATTGTAGATGAATCTTTTAAAGCAATTTCCTGTTTGTATAGCTGTCTCTCCATATTTATGTGTACATTCGCACGTGCGCAGTTACATTCTTGTGAGCGTGAGGTGAAACTCACACTGCTTTTATATAGTTTTCCCTTGGGGGTTAAAATCTATTTCCTTTAGAGATAGAAGAGAATGGAGTGTTAAATTTTATTCCTGCCTGTATGATTTCTAGATGAGAAGAGTATGATGTGAGGAAACTGATTTTCCCCTTAACAAATATCGTCCTAGTTGAGAAGAGGATACCCGGAGTTGCTCAATTTGTTTCATTTATTTTCAACTTCCTTTCCAATATGAACAAAGAATCCTTCTCCCATTTAGTTTCTTAATTTCCTTTCTCAACCTTCTCTTCTCTCTGTCTAATTCCACTCAAAGATTTGGTATAGCTGCTCAAGTATGTGCTTCTATGTCATATTTTTGAAGAATCAAAATCACTTCAAGCTTATATTTTTTACAATTGGAAATTTTTTAGGTCCACGCATTGCCAGTTGATGAAAAATCATATGGTGCCATATTGAAACTGACACTTGCTCACCTTCTGGTATTTAGTTAAAATATTGAAGACCACCTAACTTTGACATCTTTATCGTCCCTGAGCAGATCTGAGTTCATATTCATCAACCCCAACTCTAAGGGGCAGTGTGGTTGTGGAGAATCTTTTATGACAATGAGCAATTCAGAAGCTGCTAAACGAGGTGGTGGATCTGGAGTATAAGATATGTTGAATAACTTCATGATGACTGCATTTACACTGTAATTCCTTTATAGATTCCCATCTTGGGCAATGGAAACCTAGGCAAGAAAAACAAGTTTCTGGATTTAGAGTAGCCTTGTGAAACATGGATAATGTAGTTTTGTCACTTTTGTGTTTTGGAAATTTTGCAGCGGTCTTACGGTAATAAACTCTTTCCTTTCTGTTAAATGATGTAAATTGTATTGTTCTTATTAAATATATGTAAGATGAATAACAATAAGGTATCCACATTGAAAATGAATATATATGCTTTTATATACAATATCTAGTTGTTTGTGTAGGATTACAGATACTTAAATATGTTATGCGCACGTACTTA